ATCTCGTTGAGGTTTGAATGTACCTTCCTGTAGTGATTAATGATGGTGAGAATCTTTTCATGTGCTTCTTTGCCATCCATATACCTTCTATGGTCGTGTATTGGTTTAAATCTTTTACCCATTTTTTAATGAATGTGTTTATTATGTGTTAAAAAGATGTTTGTTCATTGTAAACTCAAAAAATGCAGAAAAGTACAAATAAGAAAGTAAAGCAACTTAAATCCCAGTTCCCAGAAATAACTATTTTAATAAGTTAACATTCCGCACATTTCTCCCTCTATGTATGTATACAGATAGAAGGACAAATGAGTGGATGGATGATAAATGGATGGATGAGTGAATAGACAGGAAAAAATATAAAAATGAAGTCATATTAGATATACTGATTTCCATTGAGATATATTTCATATAGAGTGGTCCCCCGCTTACCCGTGGTTTCTCTTTCTGCAGTTTCAATTATCCGTGGTATAGTACCATAAGACATTTTGAGAGAGAGATAGACCACATTCACAGAAATTTTATTACAGTGTATTGTTATTATTGTTCTATTTTATTTTTGTTATTGTTTTTAATCTCTTACTGTGCCTAATTTATAAATCAAACTTTAGCATAGGTATATATGTATAGGAAAAAAACATGTATACAGGCTTTGGTGCTATCCGTAGTTTCAGGCATCCACTGCATATATCCCCTACAGACACAGGGGGCCTACTGTCCTATGAAATTCACCCTTTTCAAGTGTACAACTTAGTGGTTTTTAGTATATTGACCATGTTATGCAACCATCACCACTTTTAATTTCAGAAAATTTCTCACTCAGAAAGAGAACTCCACACCATAAGCAGTTATTCTCCATTGCCCTCCACCCTCCAGTCCCAGGCAACAGCTAATCTACCTTTTCTCTCTATGGATTTGATATTTTGGAAGTTTTATGTAAATGGAATTTCATAATATGTGGCCTTTTGTGTCTGGCTTCTTTGACTTAGCAGTATTGTTTTCAGGGTTCGTCCATGTTTTAGCGTGTCTCAGTGCTTCATTCTCTTTTATAGCTGAGTGATCCTCCATGTGTGGGCATACTGTATTGTGTTTCTCAATTCCTCCCTCAATTATGGACGTTCAGGTCGTTTCTACTATTTGGCTGTTATAAATCATGCTGCTACAAACATTTGTGTACAAGTTTTTGTGTGGACATATGTTTTCAGTTCTCTTGGGTTTAAATACCTAGGAGTGGAATTGTTGTAGCCATTTTTTTTAAAGCGAGTTGTCTGTTTTCTCATTATGGACCTCTGAGATATATAAAGTTTTAAATGTTGACTTTTCAGATGTGTGTATCTTTTAACTCAGGTAATTCCAGGATAGCTCTATGTTCAAATTTTGATGTGGATTTAACGAAGGGTTTATAAAAGCTTGATTGTCCAATGTGTTCCAAATATTATTAAATCAAATTAAAAAATGAACTTGTATTGATCTGAATTCTTTAAAAATATGTAAAGCAGGCCAGGCACAATGGTGCACATCTGTAATCCTACCACTCTGGGAGGCTGAGGCAGGAGGATCACTTGAGCCCAGGAGTTTGAGGTTGCAGTGAGCTGTTAGGACACCACTGCACTCTGCCTGGGGCAACAGAGCGAGACTCTGTCAAAAAAAAAAAAAAAAAAAAAGTAAACTCGACCCTTCAAATTATTTTTATTTTATCTTAAATGTGTCTTTGGATTTTACTTCCTAGAATTCATTTAGTCACTGACTGTATGAATATTTCTTGATATTGCCTTTTGGGTGCCTGGTGTTATATATACTGAGGTATTGACTTAAAACATATGAGGTAATACCTTCGTGTACAATTATGAGATGTAAAATGTAGTCCTACTTATTTCATGATACGGATGTGATTTTGTTAATATTTCTGTGTCTTCTCACAATTCACATGCCTCCTCCACTAAGGACTATTCAAGATACACATATAAATAAATCTGCAAGTTACATTCCGTGACTTAAATAAAAGTTCCTCCAAAGCTGTCTGTTAATTTTTTGTTTAGGGTGTGCGTGATGTGGGATGTCACACCGTAAGTAATGGAACCGTGCCTGTCGTGTTGTTGCTTTCAGCATTGCTGACAGACAGAATGCCCTGGAGGCTGAGCTGAGGGCAGTGCAGGCCTCTCGCAGAGACCTGGAGAACTTCCTAAAGTGGATCCAGGAAGCTGAAACCACAGTGAATGTGCTCGCGGATGCCTCTCAGCGGGAGAATGCTCTTCAGGACGATATCTTGGCCAGGGAACTCAAACAGCAGATGCAGGTAAATGCACCGGAAACTACAACCGGTATTTGTGTTTGTACTGTGCTCTTTTGATCCATCTCTATGCCAATTTATTACTGTTAAAAGGTGAGGTTGTCACCTTGTTCTGCTAGGAAATCCCTGTTCTCCTGTGATTAATTGGTTTCTGGCAATAAGATCTGTAAAATATTTTTACTTAATATTAGAGGTAAAAAACTATTTTGTTTTATGGAAGTAATAATTGTTTACTTAGAGTTAGAGGCTCATAGCTATTCTGTTTTCCGTCATTTTAAGCCCTATTACAGTTAGCTTTATTGAATCCTAAATTATAAAGGCATTTTCCCTTAATGTGAAGTTGTTTCTTTCCTCATTTATTATACATACTTAATATAAAAACTGCAAAAACTCTATGGCTTAGTTTACACCTAAGAATATTAGGCTCAAAGGTATTACTTTTATGTCTTTAGCTTGATAACTATGATTGTATATACAGTCTGAGGTTCGAAGTATGCTAATATAAAATCTTTTCTTTAAAAAAATTACAAAGAATCTCATGAAGCATGTCTGAATCTTTTTTATGCCCCCAGGTAGTTCTGCTTCAGTGCCCTTGAGTGCCCTTGAACCTCCCATTTTGTCTGCTTGGATTGATCTGTTCTTGCCAGTCATGTAGGCCTTCTCACTTAGAACTTAGTTCAAAACCTATTTCAGTGGGCAACTCTCCTTGTCTACCAGAGTTTTACATGTCATTACTTCTTTATGCCATTTCATTCTCACATCAGTTTGACCATTATTTTTCTGATATGCTGGTGAACACGACGTGTCCCGTTGTCATTGGATGCATGTCTCCTCCTGTCCCAGTTGATCCCGTGGTTCTTCAAGGACAGAGATGATACTATTCCCTATTGTTGCCTATGCAGTTCCCTGAGTGCAAATCCTAAGTAAAATGCTAACTGCCACCCTTGGACCCTGGCTTCACCATTATGAAATTCAGTATTGATAACCTTTTTTGAATTTGTTCTTAGGAACTCTTTTCCCTTGAAATATCAATATCAAGACAATTTTAAAAAATGTCAACAAATAGTGGATCTGGATAAGGAGTCTTGGGGCTTTCTTTCGACTACTCTTATTCTTACAGTTTTTCTCTAAGTTTAAAATTATTTTCATTAAAAAGTTACAAAATTTTAAAAAGAGACCTTTTTGGAATATGCCTATTTATAACTTGTTCCCATGCATAAAGACTCTTACGGTGTTTTACTGTTAACGTTCTTTAGATTAACTTAATGAAAATCTGCATTTATTTACATTACTTCTTATTTCTTGTTCATTTCCCAGTACTTTTGTGACTTGGTAATGAGTATGACCAGGCAAGTATCAGAGTTAAATCTGATCCTTTGTTTCAGGCTCTGGAGTCTCGTGAGGTCACCATAAATGTTAATTGATAAAATATTTAGCAATCATCTGGATTTAAGGGGATTACAGAGGGCTCTAAATGTGAATAGATGCTGCAACATATTATTTTTTATGATTTAAACAACTGTGAGCCTGACCTATAAATGCTCACCCATACTTAGTTTAGGTAACGGTGTTCATTTCGACAGCTATTTAGGCTATGCACTTGATAGGCAACAGTTTACATAGACAATGAGTTAAAAAGGAGCTTTGAAATGAACCTTGGTAATGAGCACCAGCAAAACACAGGCCTGTTGTAGACTGTAATGATGTCTTCTGACACATTTAGTCTTAGGATACATTCTTCCCATAGCCAAAACTCTTCTCAATATTTAATGAATATTCAAACTGTGGAAGACATAAATGTAAATAGAAATGTTTAAAATCTTTCTAAATAAAAATAGCTCATCACAGGATTACTTGTCGTATGGCAAACAGCATTGAGAAGGAAAGGTTGCTGACAAAAATACTAAAATACATTATAACATGTATAGTAATGCTTCTCAAAAAGAATCTAATGTTGCTGAAATAGAATCTTTTGATGCATAGAAAGTAATAAAGAGGGCATTTATTAAGAGCTTACTGAAATCTCTTTGTTTATCTAAAGATAAATGCGTACATTTGTTTATGTTTAGGATGTTTCATATAATGATAATTTGCATGATTTTTCACTCCCTTCCTCCTTTATTAGATGTGCCTAATTTTAAAGCATTCTCTCCATTTTATTTAGAAAATATTCTATGGCTTTATTTTTAACACATTATCGGTAGATGACTGTTAGAGACTTAGTACCTTTCACTGAGTATTTCTGAGACAAGAGAATTTTAATTTTTCTGTGGGCTTGGTATTGATTCTCCTTTTGTGTGAGTGAACAGACATTTAAAATGGAAACTTGTTTGGAGATGGAGAGATGTTTGTTGAAGGAAATGACTGTACAAAAGCACGTCAGATCATAAAATAAATTTTCTGGTGGCGTGGTGATGGTGGTGGTGGTTACGTGTGCGCTACAGAAGGTGGAACAAGGACCTCAGTGTATCCGTGCTCCATGCAGGGGGGTGTATATAGAAATGCTTAGATGACACATTCACTATTTATACTTGTTTCATGTCTTGTGACAACCACACGCAGGGGCATGGGACTATTTCATGAAGATGAAGTTTATTCTATATTCAGTTTAAGGTGAATCTTGGGTAAATTTTGATAAAGGGACAGCTCTAAAGCACATGAAGGATGAAGATGAAGATTAATTTGGGGGAGTATGCTATGATACACACAAATTCTATCAGGGTTGGATGTCATTTGGATTTATGTTTCATTGCCCTGCTGCTAGGCTGTTAGGTTTTATCCCTCAGCAGAGGCCTTTTGGTAAGAGAAAAGCTGATCCTTTGGAGACTTGCAAGAGAGACAAGCTCCTTAAGAGCTGAGTAGTCCAGATCATAGAGGGTCTTGTATGCCATGCTGAGTATTTTATATTTTAACCTGGTGGCAATGGGGAGAAGGAATAAAGGTTACTAAAGAAGAGTAATGCAATGGGGTTTTTGCTTTATAGGAATCTAACTGATGATATCATAAGGAGTGGATTTGAATGAGGCAAGAGTGACAGCAGAGAGGTCTGTTGGGATATCCTTGTAGCCCTCCATGCCAGAGGTGATAATGACCAGAAAGGAGGCAATGGTAGGGCAAGACCTAATGACTTGATAGTTGGGGAAGGGGGAGAGACAAGGAGGTGGTATCAGAGCCCGAGAGACTGGGAACGTACGAGAAGAAAATGCCAGGGCTGGGGTGCAAATTAGTGGTAAGTGTGAGAGGATGGTACACATTCCATTTTTACTGTGTTGAAATGAGGCATTTGAGTAACATCCAGGAGGAGATGCCTGGTATGCGGTTGTTGCTGTGAATCTGTATTCAGATGAGAGGATTTGGCCAAAAACGCAAAAACTTTTTATTTCATTTTTGTGCTCTTGAGTGAAAGCCTATTGACTTCCAACTAGTTTATTAATTCAAATGCATTTATTCTTCATTTTCATGCCCATCTTCTAGAA